TGGACTGGCAGGTGGACTGGCAGGTGGACAGGCAGGTGGACAGGCAGGTGGACAGGCAGGTGGACAGGGAGGTGGACAGGCAGGTGGACAGCTTACACCCCATGAGGGCCTGGTCAGTGATCGATGAGGACGGAAGTCAGACTACTGCTGATGGCAGTCAGGTGAGAGGCCGTGGTCACTGATGGGGAGCATAGGGCGTGAAGAGCCGCACGTATGGACGGATGGATGATGGGCAGACAGGAGGCAGACGGGTGTGATGGCCACAGCGTAGACCCAGAGACACTACACAGACAGACAGGTAGACCCGTACATAGATAGATAGACAGATAGATGAGAGGTAGCTGCAGTGATACACAATACACTGACAGATACACGAACTGATTGATACATAGACAGACTGATAGATTGATAAACACATGATAGATAGATAGACTGACAGATGATATAGATGACAAAGGATAGATTGATAGATTATAGAGATTGATAGATAAATAGATCGATAGATAAACTTATAGATGACAGGTAGATTGATAGATACATGACAGATCAATAGACTGACAGATGACAGATGATAGAAAGATGACAGGTAGATGGATAAACCTGTGATATATTGATAAATAGATTGATAGATGGTCAATGATAAATAGATAAGAGGTAGACAGACAGAAGATAGACCCATGATAGGTAGATGGATAGGTACACGATAGATTGGTAGATAAACAGACTGACAGATGGTAGACAGATGACAGATTAATGATAGATGGATAGATCGATGGATAGATTATAGATTGCTAAATAGATATAGATAAATTGATAGATGACAGGTAGATTGACAGATTATGGGTATACTGATGGATAAATAGACTGATCGATCATAGATGATAAAAAGACTGATAGATACATGACAGTTTGAGGGATACATAGATGGATACATGACAGATAGACAGATGGATAGACAAACAGACAAGTGAGGAGCATAGGGAAAGGACAAGTGGCAGGTGGACAGACAGACAGACAGGAGCCTGGGCTGAGGCCCCGCACCCTGATGGGCAGCCTGAGCCCCTGGACCTGGGGCACCGGCTGGGCCCCTGCACTGTGGCTGCAGGACTCGGGCGCCTCTGAGCTGCAGCGGCCGCTCTGTGCCCGGGTGAGCCCAGGACTGCAGCCCAAGTGCCCACCGCTTTCCTCCCCAGGCATGGCCGGCAGCGGCGGGTACCGGGCCCTGCAGTGGAACGCGGGCTCCGGGGGGCTTCCCCAGAACGAGACCACCTTCGCCCGCATCCTGAGGCAGCAGGGCTATGCCACGGGGCTCGTGGGTGAGTGGATAAGATGATTAAATAATCGCCTTTTCATTCCTTCTCCCCTCCATCCCTCGGCCCCTTCCCCTTTGAGAACGCTCTCTCCTCCTATTTCCTATCATCTACCTTTTATTTTGCTCTTTATTTATTCTTTGGTTTTGTCTCCTAAGATAAACCACGTGATACTGAAGCTCGTGCGTCTGATTTATTTCACTTTACATCATGCTCTCCAGGTGCATCCATTTTCCTACACGAGACTCAAGCTCATCCTTCTTCATGGCAGAGTAGTACTCCACTGTGTGTAAACACCACACGTCTTGTCCATTTGTCTGTTGATGGACACAGAGGCCGCTTCTGTGATTTGCCTGTTCTGATTTTCCTCTTTCCCTCCCTGGACGGGAATGTGCTCTTACCCCGATTGATCAGAAGTTGGGCTTTGTGACACACACCTGTCATCCCAGCACTCGGGAGGCTGAGGCAGGCAGGAGGATTGCCCTGAGTTCCAGGCCAGCCTGAGCTACGCAGTGAGTTCAAAGTCAGGCTGGACTACAAAGCAAGACCCAGCCCTAAACAAACAACACATAGTATGCCTAGCAAGTGTCTCTGTAGCGGTTATCCCAGATGAGGTAGCAGGAGTCACCCTGGGGTGATTTCATGGACACGGGAGGCTGCACTCAGGTCATATGCAAATATCCCCCCCCGTGCATATGCAAATGAGCCACGTAGGCAGACAGCTCTGTATGCAAATCACTGCTTTATGCAAATAGACCCTTTTATCCAGAGGTTTTCAGCATCCCTGGATTTTCACATTCATTTCCCCACAGGTACCGAGGGATAGCAGCTTCTCCAGCCAATTCAGCACTTTATTATTATTTTTTTTTTTCTTCCTCAAAAGTAAAAGGGACTTTGATGGGTGGAATATAAGCCAGCTTCCCCCATGCAGAGACACAATGGTTTTTGCTATGCAAACATAGGCGGTTAAGGTGTCTTCTCTCTCAGCTAAGCTCTTTAGCACACGGTGTCCACCTGAAGATTTGTTCCTGCCATAGATCAGAAATGTCACAGAATTAGTCTTTTCTTTCTTCGGACCTTGAAGCCGTTCACGTTTCTCCTTCAAGGAAGCATTCACGGCTCTAGGCTTTGGTGAGTCTGAGGGGCTGGAATCACTGTCCTGCACATGAAGTCTGTGGTGATGGAAGGTGACAGTGGATTGGACACCCGCATGTGGCGGTCTGATAGTCAGTCTACTAACCAAGATGGTGCCCGAGTGGCCAATGCGGTCATGGACTGGGGCCCGGGCGCAATTCGTGGGCCAGGGGAGAAGACCCTGGATTTCAGCACACTGCCCAGAACGGTGTGTGATGTAAAATCCATGAAGTGCTTCTCTCTGGAATTTTCCATTTCCTACCTTTCAGACATTGGTTGCCCACACTCAGAAACCCAACACCCCCAGATAATCAGGAAAAACCCCGCTTACCGTGGCCCCAAATCACTCAGGGACTGAGTCACTCCTGTTATCAACTCACTGACTTTAAGTAAAATAAAGCCAGCTGGGGCGTTGCACGCCTGTCATCCCAGCAATCCGGGAGGCTGAGGCAGGAGGCTTCCAAGCTCTAGCCTGTCCAGGGCAACTTAGCCAGAGCCTGAAATAAATTAAAAATAAGTAGTAAATAAATTTATTTTTTAGAGGCCTGGGGAAATAGCTCACTGTGAAAAAGTTCTCAGGTTTCATCCCCAGTGTCACACACCAAAAAGTAAAGCTATAAATAAACAAGTGAATAGGTGTGTGTGTGTGTGTGTGTGTTTACACACGTGTATACGTATGGAAATACTTGCTCAAACGCGAGGGGAAACAAAGGAGAAGGAGAGGGGAACACAGGAAAAGCGATTTTTTTTTTAAGGGAAAAATGGAAACAGAACTTCTGTAAAAGGGGTGGGGACGCAGGATTAAAGGGAGGGGAAGGGACCAGGGAAAAAAAGAATGAAGATAAATTATGACACGGGGTACAGGTACGAATTCCCGGTGAGGAAGGTGTGTGAAGAATCAGTGTACGGGGCAAACATGTACTAATGAAAAAACAACTTTTTAAAAAGAAAATAAAGTCTATTTTATATGGGTATGATACTTTGTAGGATACTTAGTAGCAGAATGATCAAGGGTCGCCAGCCCGTAACAGAGTCTGCCAAAGAACTGTTTCTGAAATTGTGCTTTTATTTGTATGTGCGCACGGAATACTACACAGCCTTGAAAAACGATGAACTTGAGTCATGTGTAGGAAAATGGATGCACCCGGAGAGCATAATGCGAAGTGCAATAAATCAGACACACGACACACGAGCTTCAATATCCCATGGTTTCCCTTCGATGAGAAACCCCGAGTGCAAACAAAGAGCAAAATAAAACATCGATAATAGGAAGGAGGGAGATTCTTTCCCCAAAAGATAAGTTGTTCAAGACGTGCTCCCTGGGGGACCACCTGACACGGCCCGCAGAAGAGCCCGATGCATCGGTCCCGACCCGGTGTGTTCCATGCCTTGGTCTCCGCCTCTGTCCTGCTGTGTGCTGTTTGTCTCTTCCCCTTTGCATTCCAACACCCAAATTACTCTGACGTTTTTCCGGTACGGACACCGTGTGTCCCACCAACATGTCACGTGGTTTTTCCTTCCGGAACTGGAGGTCGAACCCAGGCCCTTCACCCTGAGCTCCTTCCCAGGTCCTTTTTAAACTTTTTAACTCTGAGACAGCTTCTCGCCAAGCTGCTAAGTACCTCCCTCTGGGCTCCAACGGGAGACCCTCCCGCCTCAGCCTCCCAGAGTGAGTGCACTCAGCCCAAGCCACCACGCCCGGCTCACGCGGAGCTTCTGTCTCGCAGGGAAGTGGCACCAGGGCGTGAGCTGTGCCACCCGCCATGACCACTGCCACCACCCGCTGAGCCACGGCTTTGACCATTTCTACGGCATGCCCTTCACGCTGCTCAGCGACTGCCACCCCAACGGGCCGCCCGAGCTGGCTGCGGCCACCAGGGTCCAGCTGCAGAGCTGCACGCGGCTGCTGGCCCTGGGCACCCTGAGCCTGCTGGCCGCCAGGCTCTGTGGCCTCCTGCCCGTGCCCTGGAAATCGCTGCTGGGCGCGGCCTGCCTCAGCCTCCTGCTCCACCTGTGCTGGTCCTGCAGCTCCGGGTTTGTGCGGCGGTGGAACTGCATCCTCATGCGGAACCACGAGGTCACCGAGCAGCCCATGGACCTGGGCCACAGCACCAGGCTGCTCCTGCGGGAGGCCCGGGCCTTCATCCAGAGGTAACTGCGGACGGCCCAGGCCCAGGGGCACTGATCTCTGCTCCCCCTGAGTCACTCCCTCTCCTGGTGGCTTTGGATTTCATTCCTCAGAGGAGAACAGGGGCAACAGTGAGTGGAAACCATCACACAACGGTGCTCCACACACACCCGTGCATACAGCAGCACAACTCACAAGAACTACATCTCAGAAGCGGCCTCTCTGTCCACCAGCTGACGACGGATGAGGAAAGTGTGCTGTCTGCACACAGTGGAGCACTACTCTGCCACGGAGAAGGACAGGCTTGAGCCACGTGTAGGAACATGGATGCACCCGGAGAGCAGGATGCTAAGTGACATAGATCAGACACACGAGCCTCCGTATGGCACAGTTTCTCGTAGATGAGAAGCCTAAAGTGTGACTAAAGAGCCAAATAAAAGGTAGATGACAGAAGTGGGAGACAGGTCCTTCTCAGAGGGGAAGCAGACCATGGAGAGACCGAGGGAGGGATGTAGAAAGAACGAAGCTGTTTGTGCAGTGTGCGATGCAAACACGAACTCATGAAAATAGAAAATAAATAAAATTTAATTTGATCCAAAGCGGGCACCGAGACACACAGCTATTCTGCCCTGCCCGCTCTGGGAGGCTGAGGCAGGAGGATCACACTTTCAAACCCAGGCTGCACGACTTAGTGACTGAGCAAGACAGCAGCTCCAGGTAGAACATCAAGAGGGCTGGGGCTCCAGCTCAGCCTCCACCCCCTGGGTTCCATCCTCAGTGCTGGAAAAATGCTTGTTTAGAATCAGGCACCACGAGACACTGACCACAGCCACCGCAGTACAAGTTGTGTGAACATGGATGTTTCCAACCTGCCTCTCTCTCTGTCTCTGCCTCTCTCTCTGTCTCTCTGTTTCTGTCTCTCTCTGTTGTCTCCCTCCGTTCTCTGCCTCGCTCTTTCTCTGTCTCTGTGTCTCTGTCTCTGTCTCTCTCTCTCTGTCCCTGTCTTTCTTTGTCTGTGTGTCTCTCTGTTTCTCTCTCCCTCTGTCTCTCTGTCTCTCGGTCTCTGTCTCTCTCTGTTCTGTCCATCTCTCTCTCTCTCTCTCTCTCTCTCTCTCTGTCTTTCCCATCCGCCCATACCACCAGGGGCCCCAAGGTCTGCTCAGCCCCTGTGTGTGACCCCAGCTGCTCCGTCCTTGCAGGCACCGGCATGGGCCCTTCCTGCTGCTCGTGTCCCTGCTGCACGTCCACGTACCGCTGCCCACGGCGCCCGCCTTCCTGGGAAGGAGCCTGCACGGCCTCTACGGCGACCACGTGGAGGAGATGGACTGGTTTGTGGGTGAGTTGCTCTCCGCAGTCACCAGTGGGGGGCACCAGGTGGGGTCTCTGCCTGGGGAGGAGGCCAGGATGCAGGGGATGGCAGGGCTTCCAATGCACAATGGGACAACACTGGACAGCACTGTGGTGCTCCAAGAAATGGTAAACCAGAGCTGCCCCCGACATGGCTCTGCCAGCCCTGGGTGCAGAGCAGAGGCATGGCACAGCATCGGTTTGTTAGAGCTCTGCACAAGCCCACGCTCGCCAGCAAAAAGAAACAGCCATCGGCCAGCATCCATCTGCGCAGGAGGGGACAAAGGAAACATGGCACCGGCCTGCGGTGGAATACTATGCAGTCAGGAAAAGGGGAATCATGTCATTTGCTGAATTTCAAGACCATGGGACATAATAATCTCGGTCCTCAGCTTAGAGTCTGGAAGGAGAGTGAAATCCTGTCCTTTGCGGGAAAATGGAGGGAACTGGAGGTCATGGTGTGAAGTGAAGGCAGCTGTTAGAAACCTAAACATCACCTGTGCTCTCTTATGTGACACACCAAGGGAGGGAAAAGGAAGGAAGGAAGGAAAGAAAGAAGGAAGGAAGGAAGGAAGGGAGAGAGAGGAAGAAGGAAAGAGAGAGAGAGAGAGAAAGAAAGAAAGAAAGAAAGAAAGAAAGAAAGAAAGAAAGAAAGAAAGAAAGAAAGAAAAAAGAAAAGTAAAGTAAAGAAAAGAAAAAAGAAAAGAAAAGAAGGGAGCGAGGGAACCAAACAAAGGAAAAATGAAACAAAGACAGAAAGGAAGAAAAAACAAACAGGAGGAAAGAAAAAGAAGGAAAGGAAAAACTGAGAAAGAAGACAGGCACAAAGAAAGAAAGATGAAAGAGGGAAGGAAAATAAGACAAACACAACGACCGAAGGACAAAGAAAAGTGAAAGGAATGTAAAGCAGATCTGACTTTGGGATCAGAGACAGCAAAGGGTGAGGCGAGCACAGATAGAAAAAGATCCAGGTTTTTTTGTTACTTCATGAAAATCACTTATACTCCTTAAGGCTTGCTTTCCGAGTAGTGAAAATTTTCACGAATAAGAGAATCCTCAGAATCCTTCAGGATCATTCTCGGCCATCAGCTTTCCAACCATGGCCTCAGAAATGAGCTATAAAAATCTCAACTTTGACCCCCACCCAAATGCATTTCCCTGTTCCTCAATTACCAATGCACCCAACTTCTCCAAGTCCTGCACACTTCCTTGAACTATTTCAAAAATATCGTGCAATTCTTACAGTTTTTGGTGACAAAAAATATTATTTCATGGCAAAGAATCTATCTCAAGGGTTTCCTTTCATACTGTATGAAATCACTTTCTTCAAACATCTTGGTTTCTTCTTCACCACTTAGATGTTACTTCATCAAAATAACCTCACCATGCTATGTGGCTAACATCCACTACTAAAAAAATATGGACAAGTAAAAAAAATAAAGGCACCAACTGGCAAACCAATGAGCCTGTGGACTCTTGAGAAGACCATGGCCAAGAGACCACTGGAGCAGCTGACCATCAACTGAACCCCCTGAGACCACTGGAGCAGCCGACCATGGACTGGACCTCCCGAGACCCTTGGAGCAGCCAATCAAAGACCATGGACCGAACTGTCTGAAACCACAAGCCACATGAAACCACAGACGCCATGCTCCAGGCCAAGCCTGCTGGTGATACACTGGCTTTAGTTGTTTCTGGTTCTTGGGTGGGCGGTGTCTTGCTAAGCAGCGGTTTGGTGGCACCATGATGGGCATGTTGTCAAGTCCACATGGTCCGCTGATGATGGTGACCACCCAGTGACTTCTTTTGGAGTGTCCAGTGGGAGGTGGCTTGGATACAATGGGTGAGGTGGGCGGGGCCCGGTGAGCCTGTTCTGTGCTTTGTCCTGAAACTTGCTGTTGTCTGAAGGTAAACTCCTCGACGGCCTGGAGAAGAATGGCTTGAAGAACACGACGCTTACATATTTCACATCCGACCACGGAGGACACCTGGAGGCCAGGGACGGAAGCAGCCAGCTCGGGGGATGGAACGGGATTTACAGAGGTCAGACGGGGACTGGGGGGTGGGATGGCTAGTAGGGAACAGGAGGAGGAGGAGAAAAAGGAGGAGGAGGAGATGGAGGAGGAGATGGAGGAGGAGATGGAGGAGATGGAGGAGGAGATGGAGGAGGAGATGGAGGAGGAGA